ACATATTAAAATGGATTGTCCCTTTATTCGTGAAAAGATCCTTGCTGGTCTCATTGTTCCCGAACATACCTCCTCTGTTTTCCGAGTTGCGTACTTCTTTACTAAACCTTTACAGACCGACTCGTTTTCACTTTCTTTTGACCAAGTCGAGCATGCTCAACATTCATGCTCCGTTTGAGGTGACATATCGAAATAGAAGGGCTTATTTTTCAATTCATATTCTAACGGCTACATTATGGTTTGTTACAAGTCCGTTCAAATTTTGTTTCTCTTTCGGCTTGGTGTTGTTTTTTATTTTCGTAACCGAATCTTCTTCACACTCTTCTCTAGTTGATTTTATCCGGTATATAAGGAGGGTTTATAATGTAGATCTAGAGGAGATTTTATTAAATGAAATGAGAGGAAGATAGCTCATTGTTTTTCCTTTGTTTTACTTATTCTCTCTCGCTCTTGTTAAACAGAGAACTTGTTTCTTTATCTTCAAACAACAATAAATCAATTAATTCATTTTGAGTGAGTGCTCTTTTTTATATTATTTAGTGATGATAGATGACAAGAATTGTTTGATTCATATCATCTTTCATCTAATGATCTACACTAGTTGTTCCTAGAGACCATCCCGATGTTTCAAAATCTTCCTTTCTCTTCCACATCTCGACACTCTTTCGCTCACAACCAAAGCTCGATCAAGCCTTTCCTTTACACCAAGACACCATCGTGACTTGATGAATTGATGATTTATTACAAAATCGTACATATATTATAACAATCATTGTTAAAATGATATGTCCTATATATGATTTTTGGGAGCTAATAATTACCATTTATTTTATTAGAAGTTTTTATCGTGTTTAAAATCATATAATAGAGCTAGAGAATCATTTTCTTTTCGCTTCTTTATCATTTTCACCTAAAAAAAACATATATTGATTACTCGTTATAAAATAATAAATGTTCATATGAATGTTTATATAATTTTTATATCTTTACTACTCATAATTTTTAATGTGATTCGATTCATCATTTAATATAAGAAATGAAAAGGTTGATGCAATTGATTCAATAATTTATATATTTTTAATGGTTCATAGTCCTTTCCAATTCTCTTCCTAATCTTAAAGCCTATAAATAAGTTTGATTGTTTATTAATTTGTGTAGATGTGTTTTGTAGAGATTGCGAGATTTTTTAGAATTCTTATCATTTGTATTTATTTTATTTCATATTGAATTCAATTTCTTATCATCTTTCTTTGCAATTCTATTATTGTTGTCATTTCTTTTATAACATGTTACGTTCTAACCAATCGAGATAATAGACCATGAGATGTGTATCTATCAAAAGACTCAATCATTTATTTCAACCATTCTAGTATTTGTATAAAAAGACTCAATCAAATCATTGGATTGTTTCTTTACACAAGTGCTCTACAAAATGATATGAATTATCTAGATCATTAAGCTGAAAAATTATAAAGGATTTCAATAAAAAAATTCAAACTATATAGGAAAAATGTGGGATAAACCCCAAAATGATAAAATGCAATGCAACCTACTTAATTAGTACATTGTTTTACATAAACAAATAAAATATCAACCGATGTATAACCACACGTACAATTTTTCAAGTGTAAAAAATAATCAATATTTATCTATTATAACCAAAAAAGAAGAAGCCAAGTTGACTATTCATAATCAATAATTGTGCAAAAATATGCGTTCGGGCATAGAGTATACTTTGAACGTCGGTGTGCAAGTATAGCTAGCGAGTGTGACACCTTTAACTTAGTATGGCTTAGGGTTTGAGTATGCTATAATCCCAAGATAAGGATCGCATCACAAATCAATATATAAGAAAATCCTCTCTTATTTCCTTACTCCGACTCTTGTTTTCTTTTAGAAACCTATTTTGACAATAACAATATAGGTTTGTCCTTAAAAGACCTCCCAACTCTCTTTATCTTTCCGAATATAATTCTCTTGGCATCTTATTCAATTTCAAGCTCCTCTTTATATAATAGAAAAGTCTTAAAAACATAATATAAGCATAAAAGTCTATTGCCTAATCCGACTCCCTAACACATAAAAAGTCTAATTAAAAAACATGACAATTAAAGATCTTATAACACAAGTCCCTAATTTGTTAGCTATGATTTATTCTTGATTAATAGTATAAAAAGGATATTTCCTTATCCGTAAAATTACTCCCTTCCTAAACAATGAGCTTGTCCTCAAGCTCAAACACCGGATAAGACTCTTGTAAGGCAATGGATCGATTCCCATGTAAGCATCATCGTGGTGCATTCCTAATCCCCGTTATGGCATGGAGGGAGATTTCAATATCCACAATGGGTCCGATTCCTCGTCGAATCATCCACCATCAAACAAAACAAATAGTTACACCGAGTGTTCGGTAGAGAATAACTCATCACATTTGTAACAAAGTCCCTCTCGCTTACCTCTCCGCCATCTTTGCTCATGAGAACTTCTTTATGAAATGCATTGATGTACTTTTCGTGTCGAAACCATGAACGAACTTCCTCTCGCCTATTTTGATTCATGGTTGATAGTGTGTAGAGGACTCGAATCTATCACTTTAAAGGAAAATTAGTTAGAAGAAGTGTTTCTCACTCCAATTCCGCTAGACGGTTGTAGCTTTTGTTCAAAAGCTTGAGCTAGGTTCATAATTGTAACCAAATTAAGAGGTTGTTGCATCTTTGCGTCTATCCTTAGTACCTCTATAATTTATGCAATGAATAAATCGACCTCACAAAAATAGTTCTAGCTAGAAATATCTAAAATTGACTTTAATACTCTTCCACTCGTCCCATTTTGTTTGAGATTAGCTAATTCTCTTAGTGGGTTTCTACTCAAGGCAAGCCTAAATCAAGGTAGATAAGAAGACTTGAATTGTTCCTATATGAACTTAGGTTCTTCTTGGTCAACCTAAAAAAAACATATAATTAAGCCTCACTCGTTATGTGAAAAACCATTAAACCCACCTTTTTCTCTTTTCTTATTCTTTGGTTAAAGAAGAATTTCTCATACCAATATAACTATTCCAACAAGTCCTCTACTCTATTATAGGATGAAAACTCCAAATTAAAGTATCTAGGAACCATAACCGTGCCCACAAGGCCTTTATGATGTTTAATATGGGGTTTAGTTACTTGTAGGTTGTTGCTTCGAACTCATTCTCACAACCATGGGACTTATCCTCACTTAGAGACTATAATTTCATCATGTGCTCGTATAGCCTCAATACTATCCCTTAACGTCCGTAGCTCTTAACTAATTAGCTAATTGGTATCATAATCGTCATTATGGGTGATTACGAATAGTTGGCAACTAAGGTACAGGATCTAGATCGTCGAATGATAGAGTCCAATCAATTGATTAGTCAAGAACTACGGGAGTTGATGGATAGTATCAAGGCTATGCAACACATGATAGAATTATAGCCTCTAGACAAGGGTAAGTCTTATGATTGAGAGATTAGGTTTGGCAACAATAGTCAACATGTAACTAAAACCCACATGAGACATCACGAAGGGTGTGTGTGCATAATTGTGGTTCTTAGATACTCAAAACTGGAGTTTCCATATAATAATAGAGGAGAGGACATGTTGGGATGACTATATCGATGTGAGTAATTCTTCCTTAACTAAAAAATAAGAGAGGCAAAAAATATGGCTTCGTAAACTTTTCACATGACATGCGTAACTCAATTATATATGGTTTTTTATGATAGACTAAGAAGAACCTAAACTTACATGGAACAATTCAAGTCTTACTATCTACTTCGATTTGAATCTTCCTTTATTAGCAATCCACTAGAAGAATACTAATCTCAAGCAAGTTGATACAATAGAAGAGTATCGAGTCAATTCTAGACACTTCTAGCTAGAGCTATTTCTATTAGGTATGATCATCAAGTCGACTTGTTCACTACAGGACTCACAAATGCATTAAGGATGGATGTAAAGATGCAATAACATCATAATTTGGTTACAGCAATAAATGTAGCTTAGACCTTCGAGCGTAAATTGTAGCTCACTCGCGAGGTAGGGTGAGAGGTTCTCTTCCTAACCGGTCCACAACCAAAACAATTATCCCAATCCTTTCGATTCTAGTCAGTTGTGATTCAAAATAAAAGAAAAAATCGTCCATAGTTTCCAAGTACTAGGAGTACATCATCGCCTTTTATGAAGAATTTATCCAAAGTAGAGATGATAGAGAGGCAAGCAAAAAGACTTTGCTATAATTGTGATGAGTTGTTCTTTGCAAGATGCTAGTGTTAATGCCTATTATATTTGATGGTGGTGGTTTCTAACAAGGAATCAAATTTGCCACCCCTAGAGTTGTAAGTGATATTTTGGTCTAGTAGGTTGGTCTCCAACCTAAGGATGCTGTACATGGGAGCTCGTCATGACCTTTTAGGAGTTTTATCCTAATTCGAGCTTGAGAACAAGCTCGATGTTCGGAGAGAAGTAATGTTGCGGACGCTTTTGTAGGCAAACAACACGGTAGAAGATAAAAACACTTGTATGAAAATTAATATGAAAAAAAATCTATTTTATTTTATTTTATTTTTATTGCTACTTTATTACTATTAATTAAGAATAAATCAAGACCAGACTAATTAGGTAATTAAATATGAATATCCTAATTTTTTGGTATTTTAGTTAAACTTTTTATGCATTAGGGAGTCAGATTAAGCAACAATATTTTATGTTTTTGTATTCTATTTTAGGATTTCTCTATTATATAAAAAAGAGATGAAAATTGAGGAAGATATCAAGGTAATTATATTTAAAAAGCTAAGGAGAGTTAGGAGGTCTCCTAAAGACAAATCTCTATTGTTAACGTCAAAATGAGTTTCTTTAGAAAAGACAGGAACATAAGCAAAGAAACAAGAGAGGATTTCTCAATACATTGACCTGTTATGCAATCTTCACCTCGAGATTATAACAAAATACAACTTTTTTCTCCCTTTCTTTTTTTCACTGGACAAATCAAGAGAAAAAATATTAGTTAAAGAAATAAAAACACTTAATTTGTGTCGAATGCTAATATTTGAATAATACCTCCCCATTGCCAATTCCTCCACCCTTACCACTTGCACCATCGCTAGCAGCGGTGTTTTTATTTCCACCCACTTTTCCAATTTCGCAGCCTCTTCCACTTCCACCAACTCTGCCAGTTCCATTAGCGCTGCCACTTACACACATGTTTGCAAGCCATTCATCTTCTTCTTCATCGTTAAACTCATAATTCCCTTCATTCGAGGGTATACAATCGTCATCAATACTCTCATTAATCACTATCATAATCATCATTGTCGTTAGTACCCTTAAACTCCTCTAAACCACCTATTGCACTAGTGTTCCTATCTGTGGCACTATTTGGTGTTCCTACCCCTTCTTCCACCACGACTAACTCTAAAGGCGGCGGTCCCCTTTTTTCTTGGATCTAGTCCTTCCCACATTTCTTTCCCTCATACCATTCTCTATATACTGCCTAATCATTTCTTTAACAGTCTGATCATCAAATATATTCTCACTCTTATCTACCTTGTCACCTATCTCGCTTTTTCAGCTAATCTAACTAACTTGACATTGAACCTGACTTGCCTTAGTGCCACCAAAATCATTCATATTACCAGCCAAATCATCACTCACGGTCACATTGACATCATCGTCCAAACTTACATGGTTTCCCCCCACTGTATGATCTACAAGACTACAAAATATGCATAATTTTCAGTTTCATCGTCATCACCAGGAGGCCCATGTATCTTTTTTTCCAGTTTACCTAAGTAGCGATTTGGTACCCTAAAAATGAATTGATTGTTCAATGGGGTCCTCATCCACGTAAAGATGTACCAGTACCACATCTTTTGCCTTATATCAGACAAACATCTTAACTGTTGAATTGTCATCCTATACTTCAAGCCCTCTATCATCTCAAATCATAAAGCCCTTTAAATCAACATCATACACAAGCTTGCTTAGAAAGAGCAAGTCTATGTATGTCATCTCATCTATCCCCATAAGATTCTCAATAAAGGTCTGGTCCCCATGGTGCATGTAAATCTTAGGCCTTTTTCAACCTGAAAAAAATATCAAAGACATAAATTAATGGGTTCAACAACGACAACAAACAAACATTAAAAGACTTAGGGATCCTTTTAAGATAAAAAAAAAAAAAAAAATGGAATACATTAATAAGTAAATAATTAGGGTTAGGATTTCTGTTTCCAAAATCAAGCGACTATTAAATAGCAAAACATAGATAAATTGATATATTTATCCAGTGGGTGCAAATAAAAAACCAAATCCAATTTGAAAACGTTAGGGTTTCTTATTGAGTTTTTATATACAACAAGAAAACTAACTGACTAAACAAAAATATAAATGGCTAATTGGTGGTTTTGAGGTGTAAAAAAAAAAAAAATCGAAATCGAAAGTCAATGTTAGATTAGGGTTTCACTTATCGAAGTTTCTTTGCGTCTAATTGACCTTTGGATGCAATAAACACTTGCTAAACAATCATCCACACATCATTTAGCCCATTTCAATATTCGATTTGGAGTTTTTTTGGGTTTTGATTTAGGTAATACTAGTTTTTTTACTCGCATTACGCTACAAGTCAAACAAAACATATAAAATTATTTTTAAAAATTATTTTAGTTTGATGTCCCGTATTATATTATGCGTCTACCAAAATATATCAAATCAAAACTGAATAAAAATTCATTTATTTTGTTAATTTTTTAATCAAAATTTTGTATCTAATTGATTATTCTTTATATTTTTCATAAAAATTTAATAAAAAAATATTATATATTTATTTCTATCCACATTCTTAACTAAACAAATTATAATAATGTAAGAAAAAAAATTCAAAATCATTAAATTCTTAACTAAAACTTATTTTGTAATTTTTTTTATAATCATCTTTTTGTCTTAAAATTTTTAATTAAAAAAATCAGGGAAAAAAAAGCAAGGAAGAAAGTGATCAAAATGAAACAAAAGAGGACTAAAATGAAACAAAAAATTTAAGGACCAAGGAAATAATGTTTAAAAAAGAAAGATCAAAGTATAATCTTATGAAAATTTTTATAATAAATGTCTTTAGAAATTTGAAAATTATAAAAATATAACATAATAAGAGAAATAGTGCATATGAGTATGTGTAAATGATAAAATGAGTCTATATAGTTAAATAGTTGTTGGAACAATATCGATAAATAGTAAATCAATATTTTGGTTTAATTTTTTAGTTAATAGATTTCCAGTCATATAGACCGAGAGGAAGAGAGAAAGAGAGTAAGTGAGAGGGTGAGAAATTAAAGACAATTCACCCAAGGCCTCACTGTTTATTTTATACGGGTAGTTTTGTCTTTTTAATTTTTCAATAACCCTTCGACTGAGGATGCAATTAATATATAACTTATAAAAAATGAAAATGCAAAGTATTTTTGTCATTAAAAAAACATGATATTTTAAGTAATTTACCTAAAATAAAAATGTTTTTTATCAATATGGATACAATTTAAACAAAAAAACCTTAGAATTTTTTTTATTCTCTCGATAAACCTATGTATTAGATAGATTTTCTATACTAGTGGTAGACAGATAGAGAATATTTGCACTGAAAAGATTAATCGAGCATCAAAATCGAAATGGTCAACGGTTGAAGGTTTTTTTTTATCATATATATATTTTTAAATGCATCGCTTTATTTTAGGTTTTTTTCTTATCCGTATCTTTTTATTAATTTTTTGACTTAACGGTATTAAATCATACCATTAATGTAATAAGATTGCGATACGTCTCTTTTTTTTTTTTTTACTAATCGAATTCCTTTATTTTTTATAGTAAATTTAAATATATAAAATTTGAAAAAAAAGTGAAGATTAAAAAATTATCAAATATATTCTTTATAGATTTAAATTTATCTTTATTATAGTAAACACATTTTGAGTATAAAATAAAATATTTATTTTATTTTTTAAAAATGTCAAAAGAGTTTTAGTTAAAATTTTAAAATTTTAAATGATATTTATAAGTTTATAATACTTCAAAATAGTCTATTATAATTTACTTATTTTTATTTTATAAATTTTTAATTTGATCAAAATTGTGTGAGTTTTATCAAGATTTTTTGTATAAATATTCACTCAAAAGTGCTTAAAAGACTAGAAAGATCTTTATCGTTTTTATATTTTTTTATATTCTTCAAAATTTATTTATTTAAATTTAGTATTAAAAACAAAGTAGAGGAGATTAAGACCAAAAAAAAACTAAAACTAAACACATGTTGCAATCATGGAGCTCTAATGGTGTGATTTAATATTATTAGTTTAAAAAATTGATGAAAAATACGATTAAATAAAAACTAAATTAAAAAAAAGAATAAAAAATACGATAAGGCCGAAAGAAAAAATGGAAGTAACCCTGCACCAATTAACTCGAAATCAAAACTTAGCTACTTGCACTGAGGAAGTGCGCCACTGAGGTCGGTAGGCCTGTGGGCTGTGGGCTAGTTGTAAGCTGCTTTCGCTGGAGGACATAACCGTCAATCAGAATAATATTCAAGGGCAAAATAGGAAAGTAAATGAATTCAAAGAGTTTGACTAAGCCGCTTTGTCGTGGTTGGCGGTTTCTTTCTTTTCGAGCCACCATATGCATTGCATTTGGTACGTATATAAACGGAAGTATCGTTGATCATATTTTTCCTTTCCTTCCTTGTAATTCTCTCTCTCTCTCTCTTGCGTTTTCCTCAACAATATTTCAAGGGAGAGAAAGGAAAATTTGTTGTAAGATTCAGATCTAGCTAATAATAATAAAAAAGAAAAGGTTAGATATTAAAATGGCAACAGTTTCCCCTCTGGCGAAATACAAGCTGGTATTCCTTGGCGATCAATCCGTTGGTAAAACCAGTATCATCACTCGTTTCATGTATGATAAATTCGACACCACTTATCAGGTTCTACGAATTTCCCTTCTTTCTTTGCTTTTTTTTTGTTTTTTTGGTCATTTCTTTATAATAATTTGAATTTTATAACGGAATTCCGTGGTGCTTGATTTGTTGGATTGAATGTTTGGATTCAAGATTAGTGGTTTTTATTTATTTATATTTTAAATGGAGTGAATATCAATTAGGATGTTTAATCTTACTGGATCTTAATATTTAAGAGCGATCGTGTCGTCCACGCAATTTGTTTAATTTAATTTTTAAGTTTTTGTTTTGTAAATTTGTAGGCTACAATTGGAATTGATTTTTTGTCGAAAACAATGTACCTTGAAGATCGCACCATTCGGTTGCAACTTTGGTAAGGTTTTTTCTCTTTTTATGAAATTATTATTAGATTGATAGATATGAAATTGGGGGAAAAAATGCATTTGATTTTACCTTCAAGATACACGATTACAGTATCACGTTGAACAGATGAATTGTAAATATTTAGTAGGCATTTTTTCCAATGAAATGTGGGGTATATGGTTGAAAAATTATGCTGTCAGTGATTTTCTTATGAAAGCCAGTGTCATTAGGCAATATATATGATTTCGGAAATGGGCACCGAAAATATCAATGTTGGTAACAGGCTGTCTCAATTTTTGATATTTTTGTGCAAGATAATGTCCTTTTATGCCAGGGTAATCACCTTGGTCTGAATCGAGCGCATTTTTTTATGCGTGTCTGTCAAGGTGTGATGAAATATCTGTTAATACTCTGTGTTATGCTTTTATGTGCAACATTTCTGTTATTTCGTCAAATAACTGAGTTCATGCTGTATATATAGCTCTTCTATCTTGTTTCCATGATGTTTTTTCGTTTTTTCTTCGCTGTGGTTTGTAGTTTGTGAAGTTTATTGTATGTTGATTCACAGGGATACTGCTGGTCAAGAGAGATTTAGGAGTCTTATACCGAGCTACATACGGGATTCTTCTGTAGCTGTAATTGTCTATGATGTAGCTAGTAAGTTGTCTTTATTCAAGAAGTGTTTTATTCGATATATTTGTTCAAGTGTGCACATGAGAAAAACCTTTTTCTCTTGTATAACATCTGCCCAGTTGTGCTTGTACCTTCACCTTTTTGTTTATGGGGGGGCGGAAGGGGGTGGGGGTGCTTATAAGGCTGATATTTAGTGTTCCACTCATTTAATCTTATAAATTCTTAATTTCCTAGCTCAATTGTGTCCATGCAGATAGGCAATCATTTTTAAACACCTCTAAGTGGATTGAGGAGGTACGGACGGAACGAGGCACCGATGTCATTGTCGTCCTTGTTGGAAACAAAACCGATCTAGTTGAAAAAAGGTAAGAAATTAACTGATGATAATATCATGATGAATTATGTTTCCTGGTTTTATATTGGCGTTACTTAGATATGAGTGACCTCTCGGCTTTTGTTCTTTTACGCGACAACCTTGTGGGTGAGATCACTCTGGTTTTTGTATGCAGGAATATCGTCAAAGAAGCAAGGATTATCTGTAATAAGAAAACTGTTAAATTCTTTATTGATTTCTTAGCTGTACTCTAGCCCTCTTATTCTCATTTGTGTATGAGCAAGAAGAGTGGAGAACTATATCAGCAGTTCTACATAATACTTTTGCCTATATTCAACTCATGATGTTACTACTTTTTTTTTTTTTGACATTCTGTGATGAATGGCTGGGCCATCTTAAACTTTTACGAGGACAAAAGATTTTCTTTGGTTCTTTACTCTCACTCTTTCAAAAAGTGAACCATACCGTTTGTGATCCTTTGTGTTTTTAAGTTAATAGTCCCTTCTGTTAGCTGCCTTCTGAATATAGCTTGAAATAATTCAGCATTATTGTTATTTGTTTTTGTTTCCCTTATGTTATTTGGTGATCAAACAGGCAAGTTTCAATAGAGGAAGGAGACAACAAGGCTCGTGAATTTGGAGTTATGTTTATAGAAACCAGTGCAAAAGCTGGATTCAATATAAAGGTGAGACACAGGATTCGATATTCTTAAGCTGCTCCAATCTTAGGAAAAGTGTATTATATTCCAAAGTAATCATCTTATGTAGCTTGCACATGGCCTTATGTGAGTATGGAATTTCATTTCTGGTTGTGTAGGTGGCTTAATTTTTGGATAAGTTTTCATTTATATTCTGATTTCTGAAAGTAAAAATGCAGCCTCTATTTCGCAAGATTGCTGCCGCCTTGCCAGGGATGGAAACTCTTTCTTCCACGAAACAGGAAGACATGGTTGATGTGAACCTCAAGCCCACCGTCAATTCTTCCCAGACAGAGCAGCAAAGAGGAGGTTGTGCGTGTTAGAGAAGTTTATTTGAGAAAGATTGAGGAAAGGAAGTACCTTCAATACCAGGTTATACCGATTGAATTAAAAATACATGACCAATGATTATTTTAGCTATTTTCCGATCAATAAGACGTCGCTGCAGATTCCAGCTATTTGTTGAATAGGAAAATTGACCGTTCAGATGTCTTCTGTTTAACGTTTCTCTTTTTTTTTTTTTTTTTGGAAATTCTTTGATATGTTTGCGAGACCATAATCAGATATTAACTGCAATAGGAGGTAATTTCTAGGTTACCTATGTTGTGATTCAAGAAATTTGATGGCTGTAATTTTGAAATTTTGAATTCACTTTATAAAGTTTCTTTTGGTTTAGGTGGGACAAATTCGTGATATTGATTTGTTGATATGATCATCGGCGAATTCGTTACTAGTAAATCATCAAGTATACAAGCCAGTTGAATTCTCTAGACCAATGTTTCTGGGTTGTGGATCCACGATGTTGAACTTAATATGTCTTCTTTCCAAAAACCAATATCATTTCAGATTGATAAACTTCAAACAACCTTTTCATATCCTGATCTTAAGAGACTGAGATAGGAGAACCATTCTTTTTTCCGTCTCTTTTTGATAGATGTTAAATATTGGAGAACAATTCTCAAATCAAATGTACATTTGGCTTATCATGTAAACTATCAGTAAATTTCTTATCAATTAAATCGAAGAAATTACATAACCAAAATGCATTATCGTCCATGTTGTGGCTAATAAATTCTGTTCGATCAATACCAAGCTATCAGTTTAAGGAAAAGCTTGATCGAAATTGCTGTGCTTAAATGAACCGTACTAGATTCTTATGAACATATTACAGTCATGATGCATATAAGAAAGAGCGTGAGCCATGCCTTTTAACAGCTTCAATCCTTTTTGCCCAATCTAACTTCCTCGCTTCTTTTTCATTGTTCAGCTTACCAGCCAAACTTCCTCTCCACAGGAACTCTTAAATCATATACGTATGGCTTCCTTGAGAACAAAATCCATAGATCCACAGGAACCCTCATTGCTAAAACTTTTGACCATCTCAATTTCTGTCTTGAAGCAGAGAACAATTCAGCTTTTTTCGCAGCTAACATTTAGCCACCAGCCATTTCCACTTTATATATATAAACCTTTGCAGTTCCTCCCTCTCCAATGCGTACTTGTCATCAAAGTTCTTTGTAGCTTCAATGATGTCTTCATACACAATTTTACCATTAAAAGAACATATCGAGAATGGAATTTCCCTCCTTGATCGGCTTTCATGTCTGGACACATTTCTTGGGCTCCGATGGTCGAGAGATGCAATAACTCCAGCATATGCTAGTGAGAACAATTCACTTGTTATAGAAGCAACAACGACAGTAGTTTGCTTTTCTTATTCCTCCCACCCTTTCCACTGGCTGAGGCATTGCAGGGTCTCAAACCTTGTACTTCACCACACAGATTTTTGTTGCTTCCATAAGAATTTGGCTCAACTGCAAGAAAGCTTTATCCCTCTAAATCGTTATACGAAAGGTTGACAGAAAACAAGCTCAACATGTTGCTAGGAGAAGCAGGAATTGAACCAGTAAGATTATTGTGGGACAGGTTCAGCTCGGCTAAACTTGTAAGCTTCTCAAACTGAGAAGGTATCTATCCGGAGAAAAAATTATAGCTCAAATCTAGCAGGTCGTGTAAAGCTAAAAGGTTGCCAATTTGGTACGGGAATGTCACATTCAGGTTATTCTTGCACAAGCCTAAGACTTGAAGCCTAGAACATTCCCCTATTTGGCATGGAATTGGCCCACTTAACATGTTCATCGAGAGGTCTAGATGATCCGTGTTGGACAGTCCACCAATTCCTACTGGCACCTGACCTGAAAGCATGTTATCTTTCAGATTTAGAGACAACAACTTAGATAATTTTCCAAGCTGTGCAGGTATCTCTGCTGAAACTTGATTTGAAGAGAGGGCAAGCGCTTCTAGTTGCTTCAATAGAAAAACCTCATCAGGGATTTTGCCTCCAAGCAAATTTCCGGCAACTTTCAGAGCAGTCAGGTTTTGGCTCTCTCTCCATTTGGGTGAGAGCTTACATCTCACCGTGTTCAAACTCGGGTCAATATAAGTGGGGTTCGGATATACTCCAAAATCTTGATATAGAATCCCCGACAGTCGGTTGTGCTCAAGCCTAACTCTATTCAAGGTGTGGCAAGTTTTTAGGTTTGCCGGGATTGGACCAGAGAAATTGTTGAAGGCAGCACTGAAGTTAACCGGCTTTCCAACTTGGCATACTTTTTGTGGCAAATTGCCTGTGAATTTATTCTCAGCTAGGTGTAGAACAGCTAACGATGAAACATTGCCTAATTCTGCAGGCACAAAACCAGACAATTGGTTCATGAGCAAGCTCAAGTCAGTTAACTTGCTCGAAGTGCCATGTTCGGTGGGATGTTTCCTAAAAGGGGATTACTAGAAAGGCGTAGGATGGTTAACTCACTCAAGTTACCTAAAGATGAAGGGATAAGCCCATAGAAATGATTATCATCTAGAGCTAGAAGAAACAGATGTTTACAATTTCCCATTTCTTCGGGAAATTCCACCTACAAGGCCAGTACCTTGGAGAAGGAAATTCTTGAGGCTAACAAGGCTAGTTTTGTTAGTGGCTGTTCCGTCAGGAAATAAGCTTCAGTTATATTGTTTCGAGAAACGTGAAGCTCATAAACCTGAGTGAGATTAGGAAGAGAAAGAGGTAGAGTAGTGCCAATAAGAAGATTTGTGCTAAGATCAAGAAATTGAAGTTTGGAAAGTATTCCAATATCGGATGGAATAGTTCCAGAAAATTGGTTATATGCAAGATCAAGCCGAAGAAGGTTTGTAAAGGAAGAGAAATTTAAGTATTCTAGGGTACCTATCAAGCCAAGACATGCAAGGTTATTTCAGTTATGCTTCCAGCATCGACACAGCTTATTAATTGACACTTGCATGGACTCATTTCAGTGGAATTGGCATTTGCTATTGCGACCCATGTATGACTGGAGATTGGATCGGTTTCCAAGACTATCTTTTCAGCAAAGCGTCAGCTTCGTCATTGGAAGCTACAGTTGCTTTGCATGAAGATAGCAACATTATGCAGCAAATTACTGAAACTGCTAGTGGAAAAAAATTCCCTTTGACCATGGCTCCGAAAACTCTCTATTCTTAAGTGTATCGATTCCTAGATGCATTGCTCCCTAGCTATCATCTTTATAAAGCAGCAGCCTTGAATGTTGGAGGGCTAAGTCCAAGAGGGAGACCTCCCATTCCAAATGTTGCGATGTCATAGGAGTTTAAGGTTGCCCATTCGGACCCTTCGGGTGAACAATTGTCATTTCCAATATTGTTTTGATCGGGTAATTCTGATAATTGTGATAACTTGAATGGTTTTAGCTACTACTTCTTTATTTACCTCAAATACTAGAAAGGTGACGGTCACTAAATAGTTGAAATTGGATCAAAAGAAAGTTTTAATGATCGAAAATTAGGCCCGAGACAAATTGCAAGCCCATTATATTTATAAATTTAGCGATAAAAAAAAAAAATTTGAGGCAACATGAATTTTGGGAATTGAAAATTTTTCTAGTAATTATCCATTGATTCTAATAATTCAGCCAATTCAATTTTTTTGGACAGTGCTCATCAGTCAAGCATCCCTATTCCCTACAATGATAATGGAAACTGACAGGAAGACTATAATAATGGAATCTGCAGTTTCTTTTAAAAATTGTTTGTACTCTAAACTGGAGACTTCGAATTTGATTGATTAAGACAGTGAAAGGTGAGGGTGGTCAACCTTGTTGCAGACTTGGCTACCCCACACCTCAGCCACCACTGCTCCCCCACCCTTTGTTTGATTTCCTCCACCTGGTTGCTTTATATCTGAGAAGTGGGCTAATTATTGCCAGTAACGAATTTGTTGCTTCCATGATATCGTATGAAGACTACTGAGCACAAAATATTATAGATTATAGGAAGCAACATTCAACTTTGGTTGTAAAATGCACTAGACTGTAAATCAACTAAAATGGAATGTGATCGCTACATATATACAGGGACACCGCGGGGCGGGGGTTGGGTTTGGGACAATAACATACAAAGAAGAGAAAAAAATGAAAAGCACAAAATAGAACTTCAGCACCAGCAGTTCTCCAAAGATATAACTTAAAAATGGCAAGTTCAAGCATGAACTAGAAGCGCAAAGGCGCAAGACCATTAGACATTGACATACCCATCAACCGTCTGCCTCACTCTCAGTGTTAGATATATCAATATCAGCGTACCCAAACTTGACCTGGATTTAAAGAAAGGAAACAAGAAAAAAAAAAGATGGTCAGTCTATGATCGAAAATTAAAAGAAAATATATGTACCTGTTTTATGAACATTAGTATGAAGGGAAGAGAGAGGTGGTCATAGATAGGAGAGATGGTTGGCACCTCCCTTGACAGGGACGGGAACAGCTTTTGTGCTTCCCTGTTACCGTACATCTGGTCAAGGCTACCCACCAACTTGGTGGATCCCCAACCCGACTTTATTCAACGAAAATAAAAAAAGCAGAGAGATGTGACAGTGCATACTGTGCATGAATTGGCATGTCAACCATATATGAAGTGAAAGGAGGCATAAAATCTGCAAGTCCTAAAGGATTTAATGGGCTTATAATATCAATAGCCAAGCATGATAAGATTTAATTTTGTCTGGATTCCCAGAAGGAAAATGCACCACCAGCTCAGCAAAACATCATCTGAAGGGAATGACTAGGTAGACCATGATTTTAAAATATCAATATGCACTATTTAACGATAAAAAAATAGTAATTAAATTAAATCCAATTTTTTTTAAAAGGGATGAAATTAGCTTGAGGATAATAAGGCTCATCCCTAAGGCAAGTGTTAGCAACTACAAGATTGAATTATTATTGTTTACACTTGTTTTAGGCATAGTTACTGTTATCTCGAGCTAATTTCTTCATTTTTCCGTTACTTTCAATTCAATTTTTATTTCTTACAGATTACAACTGCTATTTATATTAGGCATTGGTTTTGGTATCTTTTAAGTTAATTAGAAAGACTTGAAAATTACCTGAGTTAGCTAAAACCAAAATTGCATTTTGACTTACAAGTGCATAATTCAAATTTTATAAATAATTTAGGTTAGAAAATCTCCATGTTTTTATGGGATTTTGCATGAAGGAGTCAAGAAAAACGAGGATGAAAAAAAGAAAAAAGAGTGGCTGCAGCAGAAGAGTGAAGCAAAACATATGATTTTTTGTCTGCATTTTAAAGTGAACGGCCCTCTTTTTAAACAATGGCAAGACTTTTCAGTTTTAAATGCTGTTGTATGAAATGTTGTTACACATAATATAATGGTGCAAGACAATAACCAATAAGCCAATTTTTGTTGAACCATCATCTAATGTAGAGACCATAATTTAAAACCATGGTAGAAAATAATCAATTGTCAATGGCAATCAATCTTTAGATCACAAGCTTTTCATTTCTTGATGATCCTATATTGGACAAGTGATATTACAGTCTAATTTATCCTTAAACAAACATCTTTCCATAATTCCAATCAAGACTGCAGCCTACTTTCATGTAGATTGCAAAAGAAGTATCTATCTTGAACATAAAAAAGAATTGCTAATTGTTGGACATGCTCAGTCAATGATGATCAGTGCAAAAAGAACTGGAAGTTATTACTGTCTACCACATTTTCAATCCACCTTTTTAGATGCATGTTGCCAAAGCACATACAACTACGGGAGGCATTGGAAAACTTAGTAGAATTAATGAAACACTGAGGTGGAGCAAAGAAAAAACAACTAAAAATTTGCTGTATAATTAGCTTTTAAGTTTAGAGCTTACATGATTGAGAATAGGAGAACAATTTTTCTTGAATCAAATGAAGATGCACGCTTATATCTTCTCCATCTGTTGTTTGGTGTATCGTGAACTCTCTCAGCAAATGATTTATCTGTTAAATGAAAGAAATTAATATAAGTAAATTCTCATTTAACTTGTTGCAAACATATTCTGCTGGATTAATGCTAAATGTGAAAAGAGGGTATGAAAAATCATGGGGACAAGATGCCAGGAGTAGGAGTAGCAGCAGGTGTAATAAACAATATGCATCTCCTTAAAAGAATACAGCAGCAGCAGAAGCAACAAAGCCTCAATCCAAACTAGTTGGGGAATCTCTAAAAGAATGATAGTGACAAAACATACGTGAAATACTGCTCGGGTAGCTAGTAGTCCTTGAAAAGAACTTCATCTACTATACTATAATGAACATATCCAATTGGATTAGCTGGAAAGCAATAATGTAATGGAATATGATTACATGCCTTTAGAAATTAACTTCAGCAATGATGAGAGATGATTTGTCAAAAGTTGCATGAATCTCTCACATGTTTTCAGGTTTGCCTGTCTCTGCACCACCCCCTGCATAATGATATAAGCAAACAAACACCAAAATTAGGAACAGCGGAAGACTGACAAATCATCACATTGAGGCTAAACAAGCAAGCACTTGGAATAAAGCAAAACACAGCAGATCAGACCATCTGCGTGTTCTCCTAATGTATCAAAGGAAAACTTTTCAGGCATTAGTTTTTACAAACAGCACAGAGGAACTTACAGTTACTAAATCTTCATTTTTTATACTTCCAACAGTTATATCACCAGATTTGGGTTTTGCAATAGTTTCCATCTCAATATCTATATCCACAACACATGGTGAACAAGAATCCGTGCTTTCCATCTGTAAATCAATGAAGTTCTGGCAACTGAATTGAGCATCTAAGCACATCTGCTTCTTCGGTGGTAAAGGAAGCTCTACAAAGCTTAGAAAGGCTAGCTGAGAAGTACATAGCGAAGTGGTGTTGCTTTCCTCAGACAACATTGAAAACTCATAGAAATCTTGGCCCTAAACAGATGAGAAAAAACTTAAAAAGCTATGTACAATTTAATCACAAATGGCTGCTAGATGCCCATTATAGACCATCTCATGAAAAAAAATAAAAGTTTCAACAGGCAGAAGGTTATTCATGAAAGAGCTAACAAGGAGTGCTAACTCAAACAGGTAAGGTCTAGGATCACAGAATTTTTTTTTAAAATAATGCTTAAATTTGGAAATGACAGAAAGAGTCACTGTTAGCAAAAGTTGTGTAAATACTGTTTTCTAATTCTATATTGGCCAAGTGTAAAATTTTGCATGACCATATATCATGTACAGACCTCTTCATCAAATAGTTTAAAATACCAAAGATTCTGCAATCTAAACTAACTTAATTAGACACATATATGCCATATCATTTATACGTATGTAGATCCTTATTGTTTTCATAGTACTCATTCGTTCAGATGAAATTGGACAGTAGCAATCTAAAGAACAAAACTGTCTAAGGATTAGGGATCATACAAGTTGAAATGTAGCAAGTGTCTAACAAACGAAAAAGAGCAAACATAGAGTAGCCTTCAGTTCTCTTGAACCATTCATAAGAACTGATCAGTTAAGAATAGGGATCAATATTTCCTTGATTCTTCCTATTATAGATTTTGCAGATTCAACATGTTGTGAAGTACATGGATTGCAATCCATGGTACTCTTAGTCTGTATATCTGTAAGTAAGTATTTCAATTAACATGCCAAATAAACACCACACCGCAGAATGCTAGATCATTTGCTATCATGCACTATTCGAAACAATGTTGAAAATATCACCAAGGAATCAGGCAAGTGGTTCCAACAGCATAACTATTAATTTGTCTAGACAAAGAAAATTATCTCCATTGCCCTACTATATCAAGTACTCAGAATTACAAAGATTACAGGTTTTTCTTATATTTGGACCTTGTACTCTTCCAATTTTTTTATTAAGACCCTCCACTATTCGAGATTTCTTGCTTCTTGCTTCAGACGCTCTATTATAACCCAACCAATCAATAATCGACCTGTGACATTGTAAAGGATGAAAAATTGAAGAGTTGAGAAGGCGTCTCGATCACTAATTGGTGGCGTTATAACCGTCTGAAGCAAAAAATCTCGAAGAGTAGAGAGTCTCAATCAAATCAAAAAAGAATAGTGTCTCAATTAAAAAAATTCGCAGAGTACAGCGTCTAAATGTGGGGAAAACCCAAAAGATTATAATGACATGATCATTCTTCCATCAAAGAGATTCTATCATTATTATGAAAGAAAATGTGTTGGTTAGAGCCAATAGAAGCAACATTTCACTGCTTGGCCATCCTATTGAACCTCAATTGTCATCTAACTTGTTAGAATTTTAGAATTAATTAGAAATTTAGATGATTTCAGAGAGAAAGGATTAACGATGGGCAGGTAATACTCTTGATCATAATAGCTCAAATACCACATCGGCAATCCATCGTAGACAAAAGCTTACGAGGCTTGGACAGCTTACATTTGAATTGCGAAAGGCACATTTTTCTTCAACTGGAAACGAAGCCTCGTCGATAATTATAGGCAAAACATCTAATATTTCCATACCAAAAACTTCCATTAGCTAGCTTGCTATACTCAAAGCATTGAATCACGTAATAATTCCCTCAAAACACCATTTACCTAATGAACGATGCTGGTTGACCTCGTCAAAACTCGGCTTTAGTAACTGGAAACATGAGTCTCCAACAGGTAAATCGCAATTTCCGTCAAAATTCGCCGCTGGAAAGTACTCACTCTCCTTCATGAAAAAAAAATAAAAAATAAAAAAATAACGCAAAGGAAGACTCTGTTTGGTTACCGAGAAAATAAGAAAAAAAAAGTTGCAATTCAGCTAAAATAACAGGTGATAATTCAAACGAAGTAGAAACTATCATAATGAAGCAAAAAATAACAGCGAGATTAACTAAGCTAAAACTAAAATGTAGCAAAAATGGAAGTTTTAGTTGCCAATTTAGTAACAAAAACAGAGAAATTGGAGCATTTAAAGCAGAGAATTAAGCAAAGAGATCTAATTTCTGACCTCATGGCAGGAAATAGTAGCCATTGCAGTTTGAAGAGAGATATTGGATGGTAGAAATGGCTACTACTCACATGTGTGCGTGAATCAATAAATAAATACTGTACAGAAACGAAGGAGCGAGAGGTGGAGGAAGAAGGAGGCGTTGAAAGGAGGGTTGAGCAATTACATTGAGAGAAGAGGATAGGAGAGGAAAGGCTCTTCCTTTATGCGGCACGGGTTTCTGTAGATAGGAATCAGAAAAGACTCAGCTACTGCTGTCCATTGATTACGACATTAACGAGGAAGACAAACAAACCTTCTCTCTCCTTCTTCCTTTTCTCTCTCCTCCTTTTGTTTATGACTATATTGCACTCAATCACTTTGATTCTCTCTTTTTTAATATAAGAATTTTTCTAGTAGTTTTTGTTTTTATATAAATTTTAATTTGAACCAGGTAAATTTATATGTGTTGTTTCAATTTCACTTAAATTTTTTTATTTATTTTATTCATCTTTTTTATTTTTAATTATTGTTCCAATCAGCTCCATGTCTTTTATTATTTTTCTAGTTTTTCTTCTTAATCCATTTCTATTAGGAATGGTAATGGAAACTTGTATAGATTTAAATTTTGTCTTTTTGAATTTATTAAATATCTCAATATCATCTAGAATTAAATAAATAAAATAAACAAGTTGAAATTTCTAAAATAAATTGGAAAGGAGATTTTTTTAGTAAAAGAAATATGATAAAACTTGAAATTATTATCTAAAAAAATATAATAATTCTATTAACTTTAAGAATCTTTGTTCAAGATTTTATAGCAGATTTTAACGAAGAATTGAACAAAACATATAGTTATTATATGCTAGTGAGATAGTATAAGACAAGACAATAATAATGGTTGTTGTCCATTTTTTTTATCATATTTTTTTTAACTTAGTTTTTTTTTTCATTAGTATTTTCATTGTAAATGAACAAAATAGGAGAGTAAAACAAATATAAAAGATAAAAAAAAATTAATTTAATTAAATAGGAGAGTAGTATATCTTTGTTGCGACCAAAACATCTAATAACATTCGTGGAAAAAAAAATTGTGAGTGGAAATTTAATACTCTGTGGAATATTTTATTACGTTTTCAAAAAATTACTGTAATTCTTTGAAATTATGTGCAGAAGGATTCATCGGGATGTTGGAAGCACTAGAATCCCAAAAAGTTTAATGTTTCATTTTTTATTTTTATTTTTTGGAGGACTAAATATTCGAGTTTTCTAAATTAATTATGTGTTCATTTTCAAGGAGCTATGAGCTGGTTCCTTCAACTTATCTCTCAACTCACCATTAGGAATAATTGTTCAATTTTTCAATTTGGTTTTAGTTTTTTTTTCGATTAACCAAATTAATTAAAACAAAAATCAAAATTAAATCGAATTAAAATTTGATTTTTTCGTTAAAACTGGTTTTTTTTTGCATATTTTCTTCTGAATTTTGAATTTTTTTTTGCATCAAGCTTAAAGGTCACTTTTTTGCAATTTTTTTTCAATAAATTTCAGTGGCTTGAATTAAAGTTTTAGTAAAAAAAACCATAAGAAAATGTTACGAGCCTTGAGTGTGTGTTAAAAAAAAAAAAAAACACTAGTTTGGCTTTTGATAGAAACCAACTTTTAAAAAAAGATGAATCGAAATAATTTTAATTTTCGATTTCGGTTTTTTTTTAATTTGTTGTACAAAACCAAATCGAAATTGCTAATTCGGTTTGGTTCGATTCGATTTTTTTATTTTAGCCGAATAGTGCTCACCTCTACTCACAATAGATGAATAAATTATAAATTAATCCTTTTATTTTTTAAAAAAATTAATTAATCAATTCAGTTTATTTAAAAACTAATTATTCAGTTTCATGATTATTAATCACATTTAATTTAATATTTTTTATTTTAAAAAAATATCATCTTTTATCATCAATCTTTCTATATTTTTACTTATTTTTTATTTCTTAAAACAAAAAATCTTTCATTAAATTAAAAACAAAACAAAAACAAAAAATGAAGTTATAAAAAAATTTAAAAATATAAGAACTAAATAATTAGTTTTTAAAACATGAGAAATTAATTTATTTATTTAAAATAATAGAGGGATAAATTTATAATTTACTCCCGATATATTGATTTTCTACTAATTAACAACTGCAGTTACACCACACGAGATAAGCACAGCATCCCAGACTTTATCACGCGAGTAAGCAAAAGAAAAGAAAACACAACAAAAGCATGAGATGAACGAACATATGGCAACAAATTAAAAGAGCATAAACAATCACTCTCATCAGATTTTCCGTCTTTTTATTTATATCTATTTCAAAATAATGATGGTTAAAATTTTAAATATTATATTTTTTTAAATGCTTTTAATTAATTTTTTTATTATTTCTTTTTTTATTAATTAAAAAGTCAATAATTGTGTTGAAGGATATTTAAAAAAAATAAAGATAAAAAACTTTTAAAGTTTGTGAGAAGTTAAAAGAAATTAAGACTTTGGAACAGATAAAATATAATTAATGTCTTCTTTAAATTATGTGAAAAAGTAAAAAAAGACTAACACTTTAGATAGAAAAAGGAGGTATATGTTACTTTTTCACTTGTTCACAATTTTTATTTATCAGTGTAATATTTTTAGGGGTTATTTTTATTTAAAATTAAATTAAAATTTCTTCACAATATAATATAATATAAATTGTGGAAAAAGAATCTTCCACATGCGTTGTCCCCATAGTTTGAAGAACGGTCATACCGTTGTCTGTGTATAGCTAGTATTCACTGCATAAATCCTATTCAAATGCTACCCCTTTTAGGTGAAAAAGGCAACTAACCAGATACCACCTAGGGGAGAGTGAAGGTTGATTTATCTTTTTAATAACAGTGGAATGCTTGAAAACATCGTAAAAATAAATAAATAAATCTTTTGCTTACAGAAGTAAAATAGCTTTAGAGAGAGAAAAGTGAATGTTTAAACATGAAAAAACCTCAATTCAAAGCTATATGTTCATTCTCAATTGAATTTTAAATCTATAAATTTTATCCATTAGATCTCAAATACTTTAAAAAGTTCTCAATTAAGTTATTTTATAGATGTTCATCAATTTTTTTATCATTTGTTTTTTCAAATCAATGTCTTTTCAATGCATAAATGTATGCAAACCTAATTATATTCAATGAGCTTCTCATTTAGTAAACATCTACATCATTGTAGTGTTAGAGGCCGTTATTATACATTATTAGCACCGTCAGATTGTTCCAATAACTTATTTTTTCAATGACGTAATACATTATATTTTAAAAAATATTTAGTGACACTAAGACGATGACGGACATTATTTCTAAAAATATAAAATTTTCAATGATAAATATAAAAAGTGAAAAAATTAAATGACATAATAGCCACTGAAATAAAATATCTAATTTTTTTCCTCCCTTGTGTCTCTTCAAAAAAACACTAACCTTATAAAATTATGATAATTTTTTTTACACCATTGATGTCATGTAGCCCTTATATTTTTTAATATATTTTTTCTTACCATTTTTTGTTCTTTCTTAATAATAAGTGATGTACATTTATTTATTTTGTAAAGAATATTTATATATAATTTTAAAAAAATGTACTTTTGAAAAGTACAAGCAAAAGATATTAATATGGCATGTCAATTAATAAGAAATATTTCCAACTAAAATTTATTTTGTAAGAAATGTTTAATATAATTCTTTAAAAAAATTGTATTTTTGAAAAATATAAATGAAAGATGTTAATATGACATAATAATTAATAAAATTTTAATTTATATACAAAAAAAAAAATTTAAAAGGACCGAGATCAAGTCTCTTTTTCCTTTTGTGTTAGTGTCCCACGATATAGTATGATTCTTCCTGTGAAATTCCAAAGAAATCCTTGTGATTCAATTACAATAGCACTTTCGTGATATTAATTTGTAAGATCTTTGTAATTTAAGCTCCAAGAAATCAACAATTACATATTTTTAACATCATAGATCACGAGGTTTATGTTGCTTTTTTTATGGCCAAGCTAGTTATCGAAAATCTTATTAAGTGGTTAGCTAAGAATCCAATCCTACTCACTAAAAGAAAAAAAAATCACAAAAATACTATTTGGTAAAAACACAATGCAGCATATCTTATCCCGACAAACAACAGAAAGGCAACATTTAACAAGTCAGCAACCTCCTTTGAACGTACCTTACAGAAAGTAAATTGATTCGGTTGTCAGGCTGCATTGGACCAACTTGCGTCTCTAGGCTCTAGCCATTACATTGCCCAACCTCCCAAGGTGCTTCTATTTTTTTATATATATATAATTTGAAAAATAATCATTTTCTAACCATAGAGATTGATTTTAAAACTAGATTTTTTAAACTCCTCATATTCTTGAAATTAAAAAAATAAATATAAGCTTTATAATAGTCATAAAGAAACATAAGAAATGGTATTTGAAATAAAATCTCTACCTACATTGGACCGATAACCAATTACTTCTTTACAATAACCAAAATTATTTAATTTTATTGCTGTCCCACTTACCAAAAATATTAATTATAAACAAAAACACTTTGATTGGGATGATAAAATAAACAATAATGTGTTATTCTATTTATCCAATTATGGTAGAGAAGTGCATTCAATCCTTATTTGTCAATTAGTTCCCACTTCTTCTCTCCATCATATCTGACAAAGCAAATTGGTAGCTTCCAAGGCTAATAATCCTGAGGTTACGGATTCAAATTCCATCTCTATAATATATATTTTTTTCTAAAAAAAAGATTATCCTTATTAACTAGTAAGGAATTAATACATGTTTCGAATTAGGAAGCCAATAACATGTGTCCATAGAAAAAAAAAAAAGCAACCATTGCGTTTGTTTGTCACAGGCTCCATTACGGTTTACGTCATATGTTTTGGTGCAAAATTGCCTAAAATTAATTCCTTTTGGCATTGAAATGTAAATGAATAAGGAAATTTGATGGTGAAAATGAAGACATGGGTGTTTATATTTCGCCCAAAAAAAGAAATAGTTTTTAATAATTTTGGGCCAAAATGCATGGCCAAACTGAGCATGTGGTAAAAATGTTTAATTTAATATAAGTTGGTCAATTCTAGATAACTGACAGACACAAAAGGAGGTGTTTTTTTGAGAAATGTCAAATAAGTGGGAGACTTGGTTGAGAGTTGCATAATGGTTTGAGGATAACTATGTCTTTTGCTCTAAAATTAATGGTGAGATTTGGAAATGTGAATCCCTAAAATGTCGATCCCTCAAATCTCTATGACAAAGGAGTTTTTGCTAACTTGATTAGTGCTAAAATCTTAAACTTTAACGTTATTAGAAAATGAATCCATGACAAATGAATTTTTGCTTCCTGTCGTAATCAACAATCGCTTTTAATTAGGTGGTCTATGAACTTCATCTTAACTGTTCCAGCTCACCACTCATCAACGATAATAATGCATTTGGCTTTTCATGCTACCAATTGAAATCATTACGGGCATCAACATCGATCCCATGATGACTCAGCCTAAGGATTGCTGTCATGTTTTCTGCAGAGGTTTATAAGAATTTAGGACATTGTTTTTTCAGTGGTAAACTTTAAAGTCGCGGTCCTACGTAGCTCAATTTCGACTAACAATGAAAGACAGGATTCTATTGATTAGGGTCTAGGGATGTTGGCTGTTGGATAAAAATCGAATAATTAAATCTAACTGTATTGAAATATAAATTTTGATGTGATTTTTTTAGAAATTAAAAAAAAAATCCTGATTTTGGATTCGGATTGGGTTTTTCTAAAAAAAAAAAAAGGATATATATATCACTTACTGTACTCATTATTCATAAATTGAAAACCCATTCTCCCTTGATATACTTCTCCCACAACTTTATACATGCTATTTTTGTTTCTGTTACAAATCTGAATATACACAAAATAATAAAAACATTGATAGATTTCCTATAATCTCACATTCAAGTCTTTTTTAATGAACAAATTATTATTTGTTTACCTATTAATGTTTTTATTTTTATTTTTAACATAACTTAATTTTCTAACTAGCAGTCCATTAAACATAAAAAAAAAAAAAAACTCACTTTAAACAAAAATCTTAAGAACTTTATTAGAATCATAGAAAAAAACTAAAACGAGTAAAAATCGAATTATCAAACAATAAAATTAAAATATTTCAAAATCAAATAAAAAAACTGAATAATATTTCTATTTGGTTTCAATTATTATTTTTTAAAAAAAAATTAATCGAACTAAATGACCGAAGGAGCAGCCCTAGCAGGCTAGCGTCGATGTCCTTTTTTTGGCTGTAGAGCCTTAGACAGTGATATCTCCAATTCCACTGTGTAGCCAACTTCCGCTAGCTGGCAGACCATTATGGAGCAAGCAAAAGATTACAAAGATTGAAAGCTGAGTAACTATGCAAATAAATCCAGTGGTGGAAGGCAAGTTGCACACAATAAATATCCTTAACCCCATGCTTAAGAATACCATATCACTACATTTGGTGGATTTGGATTCTCCATCTTATTTCAAACCTCACCCATAATTTTAAATTCCAAAAAGAAAAAAGATTGGACTGTTTAAATTCTCTTTCCCAGAACAAACGGTTCCAGCTCCATTCAAAGTTTGGACCAAAAACGACAAAAAAAAAAAAAAAACAGTTGATGGAAAATGTAGAACGGAGATTTTGGTAAAAGCAGAGGGCAAGCTAAGAAAGATGGTGAATCCTGGTGGGGCTCCTGAGAGGTACGAGATTTTGTCAAGTTGCTGGCCTAAGCTGCGCATGTGAAGCTAAAAAGAGAAGTTTTGACAACAGACAAGGAGAAAGAAGTCAGGGTCGATGGATCGAACTTCAATCCAAGACTCACGGATTGTATAACTATTCAAAGTCTCCATCAGGAGCTAAGACCTAACTTTGCTTGTGATCTGACTTTGTTTGTTTTATTGGGACCAGAACGACAGCAATCCTTGTCATTATTTTGCAGCCTATAGTTCTAATCAGATCATTCCCCCTGCACAGTTGTTCCTGTTTGACCTGCGAATAGGGTTTTAATTGGGCTGCTAAGAATGGCTCTGATCATCATCCCTGTAATATATTTCCCTAGCTCAAACACATTTTTTATTAAGCTGGTGTACTCACAAATTTGAAGTTATTGGACGGTGACTTCAGATTGCAAGAGAAACCAAAATGGGGACTTAGAATGACGCTGTCAAGTACATGGATTGCAGTTCTACAAATTTGACTAACTGCTTGAATTTATATATATTTACAGGGGGGAAAAAAACAAAATGAGTTACATTATTCCAAAGCAAGCACGTAAAATTGCAAATTCTTTTCTTTTCCTTCTTTTTTCCTAGCTGAACAAAAAATTAAAAAAAGAAAACAGACTACAGGAGGCTAATTAACCTTTCTAACACTGAATATATGGCAGTTAGTTGCTGCAATTTTCGGCCAGAGCATTTTTAAGTATTGATTTTTGTACTTTTGGTAGTGGCTAAGTCCACCGATTAGAAATGGAGCCGACTCCCATTCTTAGAGATAGCTGTTCCATTGCATTCGGTGCGTGCCCTTGGCCCCAAAAATTCGAGCCCCATGAGGCCATTTTAGAGTGTAGTTATCTAGTTTCCACTAAGCCCAATAAAAGACAACACGATTCAACCTAACAGGGATCGGAGTTTGAGGAAAGTCAGTAATGGTATCGTATTGGTCGGAGTAAGATTTAATTTGTCGTCATAATTATGTGTCTCACTTGACTTTTTTTTTTACTTAAATCGATAGCCTTACTTGCTCTTCTAATTTTTTTTTTTTATATATTTTCAAAGTATCACACGTTCAAATATCCAGATTAATTTTTTACTATTCGATCGAATGTATAAGACGGATATAATTATTTAAAGAGTTTTCCGTATACATAAACACTTCAATTCGAAACCACTTACTTAAATAATTAAAGTTTATTCTACTTCAGTCGACTCTCTTGGATTGCTTGCTTCATTAAATTAAACTGAAAAAACTCCACTTATTTATCTTAACAAACTTGAAGCATTTAAATTAAGTTTAACTTCCAACACCATGTTGATCATGCTTGTCTAGCATTATTTGCATGCCTCAATCGCCGTCCAATCCCATATATCCTCGAAAGAGAGGGTTGCTACGCCTCTTGGTGGAAGAAATGGATTATGGTCGTTCAAATTACTCCTCGCCAAGTCCTGCGAGCTTTCCCACTTGCCCACCCCATCTAATGCAACTTGTGTTTGTCTCTAGCCAGGAGCGGATTCTTCGAGTACTTGGACAATTACGGGTCCATTCTTGGGTTAAGTCCACGATATTAATTGTAGGTTAGTTAAGTCTGCCTGTTACAATGAAGAGAGTGGAAAGTGATGGATCAAGGTAAAAGATATTCATTAGGATGTTTATGAAACTTACGTTGCAAAGTTCATTGTGGTTGCAATTGATGAGAACAGTGAGAGGGTTTATTCCTGATTGGGCTAGATAACTTTGTTGTAGAGTTTATTCATTCAAGAAAATACTAAAATGGCAAAAAAATTAGGAGTAGCGATATTGGGCCGTCCTTTGTGAGAATTCAAGAATGCAAACTTCTTACTTCTCTAACTGAGGTGTAAAACTTCCAATTGTGGCTCGTAGTGTAATGCATGTCAATAAGTAGATTGTGTTTCTTAGCAAGTGCTTGTTAAATTTCCTTCCACGCATGCAAATTATCGGACTTCATTGCTGTTTAGCTTGACAATCAAAAATTGAAATGGTCTTCTATAAATCAGCTTCAATTGCCAGATTAGGATTTTACCAAACATTTAGTCTCTATACTAGTCAATTTTTTTTATTTTTTTTATTGAGACCCTATGTTTGTGTTTTTCAATTGAAGCCTTTTATTTGTACAAATTTATTAATTCAGACTTTCGAGTTATAATTCCATCAACTGTTTATCCGACATAATACATTATTGTTAATGGCAATCAATTACTAAGTGACATATGGTTAAGTGGGTTTCAAAATACAATATTTGCATCCGAATTAAAACACACACACACGCCTATATAACAATAAAATAATACTTAAAATTTAAAAATAAATGATAAAGATAAATTTGCCCTCACTTTATTACCTTTTTTATTGCCAAAAATATGTTAAAACACTAACCTATGTTATGTACTTCTTTGATCTCTATGTGGGAAATGGGAATGGAGGTTTGGACTTTAGAGAGAGTCAAATGAAAATATTTTTATTCAATTCCAAAATATTCATAATATCCAAATCATTAATCGGGTCGACTTCATTGATACATTTAGTTGAACTAAAAAAAATAGACAAAGTTTATTCGGAATGCATATTTCCTAATGAATATTATTATTTAATCGACTGTGTTTGTTTGATTTAGGGTATAAAAAAAGAAAACAAAGACAATGAGAATAGTTGTTACTTGTTGATCACTTAGCCACTCCTCATTGCAACGCCACTAATCACCGACCACTCCCTACTCGTTGTTCACCTCGTAATCCAATTGCCACTCTCCATAACCGCGAAACCACCGGTTTGCAAAACTTAGTTAAACTATAGATTCATGCAATTCAAATATATAAAATTTAACAACAAGAGATACGCTAATAGCTCAAAACTCGATACGAGGACAAGCTCGACGATATCTTTCATTTTTTACCACGACGGTTGCAACTATTTGGAAAACATTCTTCCTCCTCTCGAACATCCAAATCCTCTTAAAATCCGGACGAAAGCTCCTAGGAATTGGTTGAATTAAACAAAAAATTGATCCCGACCTATTTTTGAAGTCCCGTGTATATCGCTAATTTTAGAGCAAATCGGACCACCTAATAACTAGAGAACAACTCATTGCGGTGTTCCGAGTCGATAGCCACCTTCTTCTTTCCTTGCACAACACCAATCAAGCCTACTCTACTCATCCATTGCCATAAACCTATAACCCCGAAACACCATAGCTCCGAAAACCTCTTCGACATTGTCGATCTCTCGCCATCACTCAAGCAAAAACCTCACCTCGCCATCGTCTTGAAACCCTCTCCCACCGAAACCACCTTCAACCCGTACAACCGCAACACACGACCACACTTGATAGACTTTCCGAATTGGGTTGAAAATAATAAGGGATGGGGTTGTTTTGGTTTTTTCATTTTTATTCATTTTCTGTATTATTTTATTATTTAAATTAGTTTTTGTTTATTTATTTTTTTTATGTCGGATATAGTGTTATTTAGGACTCACTTAACCATGTGTTACTCGGTGATTGCTTGCCATTAATGGTAACATGTCATGTTAGATAAACGGTTGATAGAGTTATAACAGAAAATATGAATCAATAAATTTTAAAAAATAAAAAGTTTCAATCAACTAAAAAAAGAAAGAAAATATCAATTAAAAAAATTCGAAAATTATTATAAAAAAAACTAAAATAAGTAATAGATTTACGATTTTTCGACTGTTCGTCTACACCCATTTGCATTGTGAACTGGCATTGTTAATTGTTTCTCACTCTTTGATTACGCCCTTGAGTTATCTGCTTAATTGCTTTTTTGCCATTTTATTTTATTGGCATGTTACATTTATGCCCTCCTTTGCTTTGTTTCTTTCACTTATTTTGCTGTATTTTTCGTCATTTTCTCTGTTGTTCTTGCCCGCATTAAATGCTCTATAGTAATCCTCCTGCCCATTCTTTTTTCTCTTTCATTTTTTTGATTTCAATGCCTCCACCCCTAAAACCTTATGAGCGCCTTCAAAAATTTGAGGTCCCATCAGTTCATTTGTAATTGGAATTGCTATTTCCTTTTGTTCCTCGGTTAGAGGGTCCTCCTTCTTGGGTATTTTTTGCCCTCTTTTACTAAATATCAAAGAAAAAATTTAGTACTACGGACTATATTACTCTTATTATTTAAATTTATTTTTTTTTTATAAAATTCTCATCCAATTAATATTTTATATAAGATTTTATTTACTAATAAATATAATTTATTTTTCTCTATATTTGAATTTTAGAATAAAATTTTAAAACATGATTTTTTAAAAAATAAAAATTAGTATAATATATATCGTGAATTCTTAGAATTTTAAATGATAGTTGCACATATATAAATATCTAATTATTTTATTCTAAAAGGTCAAAAGTGTATTTCAAATAATTTATCTCGAGTTCACTAGGTCTTGTTAATACATATAAAAAAACTATTGAATTATTGATTTTATTAAAAATTAACTATACATCTTCCAACATAATACAAATTATTTACTATGAATATTTTTTTTAACATTATAGAACCAATTTATTTGAAATAAAATAATTAAAATAATTTTTTAAAAGAACCAACCAATTATTCAAATATAGTTTTTTATACTACTTTTGTTGATTGTTTTGTAAATAAATATATATAGATCTAATGCATATACTTGAAAAAAAAAATTTCTCACCAACATTAAATAAGAATAAATTTTTATTTTTTTATTGATTAATTTTTATGCAAGTCTATACGTTAATTGTAACTTTAATTTTTGTATATACTCTTATAAAAATATATATAATTTTAAAGTATTTGCTTTTGAATTCTTAATTAATATTTCAAGTTAAATTATTACAAGTTTTTATTTAAAAATCCCTGAATAAAGAAGAATAAATCATATTTTTTTAAGTAGAAATTTTATGAAAAACACAAAAAATGGTAATAATTAAATAAAAAATATGAAAAAATTTTAAAATTTTAAAATGATCTTGTTCTATTTGTCCGTAGCATTGTGCGGATAATTTCAAAAAATAATCTTTTTATTGACATTAAATAAGAAAATTTTTTTCAGTTGTTAATTTTTGTAAAAATCTGTCCATTAATTATAACTTTATTTTTTGGAATACAATATTATGAAAATTATATTTTTAAAGTTTTTTTAATTCTTGATTAATATTTTAGTTAAAATTATTATATTTTTTTAATTTTAAAATCAATCAATTAAAAAGAATGATTTATTTTTTTAAGCAAAAAATTTATAAAAAACATTAACAAAATTAATTAAATAAAAAATTATAATTAAAAAATTAAAAAACTTAAAATAATTTTTTTTATTAAAATCGTAGCGTAGCGCGGAAAAACGACAATTAGAAGTTAAACTTGAAATAAACCCGCGAGAATATGCCAATGCTTTTTCTCATACTTACACACTAAAGAGAATGGTGATGGGATTGAAGCAAGGCCCATGGCTGGGCTCAGATGAAGAAGGCATGCTTCTTTATGAACAAAATGGAGACACCATGGCATCAACTAATTAAGTCTTTACTATGGTAAAAATAATCGGACCTTGACCTGCACAACAGTAGTAACATTTTCCCTATTATCTTTTTGAGTTTGCATCTCATCTCATCAATAAACACCGACATCTCTTCCAAGCTGAATTGGAAAAGGAAGCAGCAATCGACAATTCCGATAAGGATAAACAACATAAAAATTGACATGCTAATGGGAAATTCAGTCGCTCTTTCCAAAAAATTACTGACATGAGTTACGATTAGGAACAGGAACAGGAACGGGATTAAGATCAAGATAAAAATTGAAAGCTTTTGGCGGGCTGTTAGGAATAAGAAGTTGTCGATGGTTGAATGACTTCTCATTTGCTATATTAAATGCTTGATCATATTTTTTCCATTAAATGATTGAAATAAGTTTTTAATTGTTTTATTGAACCTGAGGTAGTAGAGTTGTTTTTACACGCATCTATATATAGTAATAGTAATTTATCCGTTTATTATTTTCTGCTTTTTATCAAATAACCTTGTTGCTATGCATTACGTATGTAATCTTTCTTGTTGGCCTTGGCATTCTCTTGACAGGGCATTCTTACAACCTTGCACTGCTACGTTTCGATTTTCCAGGCCATGATTGTGACAAAAGGGAGCTATGGCCTTTGGGGATAGGCACATATTCCTTGTTCCGAAAGCAAGTTGTGCAACCACCGAGAGTAAAACCTTTTTTTCCCAGTGAATTTTGCATGTCCTGAAGGAAGACGAGTCATTGAAACTTCTTGGAATCGGATATGGTGCAGGATGAGTCATCCATATTTGTGTGTCCGGTAAATGAGTCACCCACAATTCGTTTCTAACAAGGATACTTGTTCTAGTAGAATTGACAAGTTGTTGATTAATAAAAGGGAAATGGCGTATGATTCTTGACTAGCCGATTATGCATGTGTTATTGTCGTTTATTAAGAAAAGAATAATTTTTATTTATTCAAAATTTATAGATGTGATTCAACAAATCAATAGATTTGCATTATTTGTAATTAAAAACGAATGCATATAAATTCTCAAACAAAAAAATTACAGAAAATCGCACCTAAATTATATATTAAATAAGATTTATAAGGAAAAATAAATAAAAAGAGAGGTTGAAAGAGAGAACGAGCTTATCATTATATATATATAATAGATTTTAATAAGTAAATTCTAGATAATTAATCAGTAGAGTTATCTTTTATTACATGAGTTTGTGTTTAATATTTGCATAATTAATTTGTTTTTCAATCAAATATTTAGACGAGGGGATCAAATCACATTTATGGAGGAAAGATCTCTCTATTAATTAGTGATAGGAAATAGGAGCATCAATCACTATAAAAAAAATTAATTTAGCGATGGTTTAAACAATCTCTAAATAACCAAAAAAAAAAAAATTCATCGTTAAAGAAACTTAGCGACGGTTTAGGGACGGTCCAAAACCATCATTAAAAAGCTTCTCGTTAATTTATTAGCGATGGTTCAAGAATTTCATCATTATTTTAGAGACGGTTTATCGATCGCTAAAGAACAAAAAATGGTCGCCAATTTAGCGACAGTTTCTCAAAAATCGTTGCCAAATTTAGCTTTTATTTAGAGATGATTTTATCTAAACTCGTTGCTAATTTTGGCCAAATTTAGCTTGGATTTAGATACGGTTAAAACCGTCGCTAAATCATTTTTTTGTTTTGGATGATATTTTTTAGTCAATTATTTCGTTGTTCACATGTTGCTAATAAGTAATATATATCGTTTTCAATTTCACATATTCAATCCAATTTAACAACTACAATAACAATATGAAATAGGATTATAGAAAATACAAATCCTTTATAATATATCAAATCCAATAAATATTCAAATACCAAATTATATTAAAGTATATCAATATTTCAGCAAATAAAAACATAGGAGCAATAAAAAAGATAATGTGATGAAAGGGCTACATCTCACATATCAATATTTTCATCCAAAAAATGATGGTCGATCAAAAGATTGGTAGAGGAATTGCCTTTTTGCATATTCGGTAACATCTGTTGTATTATTGCATACTGCTCCCGATTATGCTTGCTCTAACCACTTTTGACTTTCTAAGAGCGAAGTCATAGTATCTTCCGGTTTTTGTATCTTTTCTTTTCGTCTAGTTGTGTTTGTCTCCACTTCTTTTTGATGTACCTCAATATTGATATGTAATTATGATGTAGTTGAACTAGAGGATGAACCGACATTTGAGTAATAATGAAAGGCCTATGACACGAGTTCGTACATTCTATTCCTCTTATTGTCTTTTCCTCCAACGACTCTCTTAAATATCTCGTCCATGTCGATATCGAGCATTGAAGTACCCTTCATCCCCCAACTAGCAACCTCCTCCTTATATATTTTATTGATAATGTCCTACATAATTGTATAAATTTTAATATTAAATAGTAATCTCAATAAGTTATATACAAGTGGCATACATTTGAAATAAGCTTATAAATTACTTAACCCGAGATTTTTGCTCGCCGATTGATGAATACGTAGTTATCATCAACTTTTTTCACATGAGTCTTTAAGAACACCTCGTGAGCGTCGGTTTTACGACCTAACTCCTTATCCCGAAATAAATATACTTAAATATATATTGATGTTGTAATAATTACAAATAATATATATATATATATAGAGAGAGAGAGAGATAAGATTTATCATGCGTATTGCGATCTCTCCGTGTGTGATTGAACCCTCCTTATGTAATCAAACCCTTTGTATGTCTAAATGGGCTTGCCTCGATGCCATTTGTCTTATTCATGTTATTCGAACTGCCTACTCGGATCGTGCTCGAGACTTAGGTTTTGCCCATTCCTACTACCATGCATCCCATATCTCATGTGAGATATATTTTGGTTTGGGATGTGTCTTCTCATGATAAAAGAAGTTAGAATATCGCTTTCATTATAGATCCGTCATGCTTTCCTAAAGCTTCGATCAAACTCCTGGTCCCACTTAAAAAACTTCTATAAGAACGTTCAAAATGTTCATTAGTACATTTAAATGAACATTAAGTAACTTAATTGAAATGTATTATCACATAATTAATTAAACTACATGTTACCTTAAACTCCTCCTCATAGAAGTCTTTAGTATGCCTAGCAATTGACTTTTACATCGCTCTAGATAAGTCGACATACTCATGAAATATCTTATACATTCGACAAAAGCACAAATAAGTTGGATACAATCTATCAAACAAAATAATTAACTATTGAATGAACATATTAATATAATAATACACCATCAAAAATATATAAAAAAATGCAAAATATGTACTCGTTGCCATCAATGAGAACAATCAAAATGCGAGGACCATACGTATAATTGGTAAGTGTAGAAGACATATCGAAATGGATGTATAGCGATGGGCCATGTGTAAGTACCTAACGAGTCATCCTGTTAGGACATGGGGCTCTAGTGACGATAAAGGTTCAAAAGTACTAGCACGTGATCCAAACTAATAAGGCTTGGGTTGAGACATATCAAACGATAATAGGTATGACACGAGAGGTCGCAAGAGGAAATGCATTAATGTTGAAAGGAGTAGTTATGCGACCTAAAACGGAAGCAAGACTACGCCCATGTCCACGACCACTCGCCATCATTAGTGTTTGAACCATAACCCTTATTATCCGATACGGACCACTCGAATTTCGAAACATCTCCTGCCACAAGGCATAACCTACACATTATTATATTAATTAGTTAATCAAACACAATAACTAGAGAACATCTTTATTACCATAAAAAAAATTAAAATACATTTATTTTATGATCAACAAATACTTTCATAACTAAATTAAATATGCACACATATATGTTACCTTAACAATTTCAATTAAATTATGAGGGACAATCCAATCTTACTATTAATCAATATCGTGGTCATTATTATTATAATTTTCATCTAAGTTTTCTTACGTATTTTTTTTTTAAATTCAACATCATTCTCTTTATTAATTTCATCTCATTTTAAATCTATTAACGATCCGAGTTGGATTAGTCAGCGATTGACCCTCATCATCATCAACTTGAATGACATTATGTTAGGCTTTCATATCGTTTTTCTAAACGGTTTCGTGTTTTTTGGACCATAACAAACAATTTTAGCACATCCACCACCATCCTCGATTTTACTTACATATAGCCAACCAATCGAGCCTAATGTGCTTCGATGTAGGATATATTGCATGATACATTTGATGCGTTTATATTGCTAGGATAAAGTAATCTAGTCGATGTCCTAGGAGTATGTATCTTTACTAGTCCGTACTAATCATGAACCTTTGTATCAATACTAGGTGAAGTATCATACCAATCACATTTGAATAATATGATTCTTTTAATTGGTAATACATGATACTCAAGTTCTAGAATATTAGTCAACCTAATTAATTAACAATAACTAATTAACAACTAAATAACTTAATTACCGCTTAATTAATTAAACTAACATCTAATTATTTTTTAATAATTAATTAATTTAATTAACAACTAAATAACTTAATTTAACTACTAAATAACTTAACTAACACCTAATTAATTGCACTAAACTTAATTAATTTTTTTAACACTTGATTAATTTAATTAACAACCAAATAACTTAATTTAACAACTAATTAACTTAATAACAACTAGATAACTTAATTAATAACTAATTAACTTAATTTACTAACTTAATAGCCTAATTAATACTAATTAACTTCATTAACAACCAAATAACTTAATTAACACCTAATTAATTAAACTAACTCCCAATTAATTTTTTTACAAGTAATTAATTTAATTAGCAACTAAATAGCATAATTAACAACAAATTAACTTAATTTAACAACTAAATAACTTAATTAATACCTAATTAATTAAACTAACACCTAATTAATTTTTTTAATAATTAATTAATTTAATTAACAACTAACAAGTTAACACTAACAAGAAAATAAATTAAACTAACTAATAATTAA